AAAAAAAATTATTACCGTCTAAAAACAAAAGAAGCAGGATAACTTGAGGTTTTCCATAGCTGCGTGTATAACGTAATTTTAAAGTGTTGCCAGCTGAAACGATAGGAAATTGAATAACGTCTTTGGAGACGCTCCAGAATTGTTTTTTACTTTCATCCATTAATGTTACATCTTCATCGCTTTGCCCATTTGGACGGTTGACTATCTAAAAACATATCCAATCTTAATCGTTAACAACACGCTAATAGCTTTCATAATGAAAAACTCTAGAATGTGAACCTGAACGGCAATTTTTGACGACAGCCCAAATTGATTACCGACAGCTCTAATCGTCTGCTCGTAAACACACTGTGAATCAGGAACTGAAGAATTGGAAAATTGTGGCGGAAATGAAACCAATACATTTTTCACTAATGTTTGTCTCAGAAAAAAATAAGGTGTTTTTCAAATAAACTATTAGTTGAAGTTGAAAACAGTTAATGTCATTCCCATTTAAACTAAGAAATAAACGTTTAATTCTACTTACCCAATGGACAATCAGCTGTTGCTCGAGCTGCTAGAAATTTTCGGTGGTTAAACTGAGATTCAGATATTTCAATAGGATCAGTATTGAAGTTTGGTATGACATAAACATTGTTCAACTGGAGTCGTTGAGAATCCTGCCTACCCAACCATGTTACAATATCCTGTTGTAATGGTGCAGTAACTAGAGGGTTATAGCGGAATCCTGAATGACCGTTATCTTTCACAATGACCTAAAAGGCTGCAACTATACCATAACGTTAATAAAATGTAAAGGATGCCAAACCACAGCGTGTCCTTCGCAGACGAGAAATTTCCGACACACAGATACAATAAAGTAATGAATTAAAGTCCGTTAGAAACTTATAAATCTTTAATTAAAGTGTAAAAGGTTCTGTTAAAAACTGACTAACGTTTTCAATAGTAATTCCGGGTGACCGTATCTTAAAACCATGCCGTCGATTATTTTCCACTCGACTGTTTCTAATAGCTGGTTTCTTGACCAGATCGTTGTACACAATATCAACACCATTCCAAAAATTATC